AATTATTAGGCACGGGATGGAAAGAGCCAAGGTTTGGGGACTCCAGACTCTGTGTTTCGGGACTCCTGGAGGTTAATAGCTAATACCACTCCTTCCCCCCCCCCCCCCCCCCCGGATAGCTTGAAAGTGTTGTGATCAGAAGTCAATTATTAAAATGCTTATGCTTATCTTAGCTGGGGCTGAGTTGACCTGGGGATTACAATCTTGATTATAAATGTTGTTTTGATTCAGGGAACATTGCTTATGCTTGTTATTAGGTGTCAAGATTAGTTTTGTACAATCTTGTTTGTAAAATATTGTTTGAATTAAATTGAGCTGAGTTGCAGAACTTCGAGCTAAGCTTAACAGATGTTACGGGATACCTGATATAACATTCAATAAAATGGTATGAGAAAACGTCAATGTGCTGTGAATTGTAATATGAAGAGTTAAGTTGGCTAAGAATGAAGAGGTGAATTTGTTATTATTATAATGATAATAATAATAATAATCCTTCTATTTGATATAGTGCCTTAATACATCATTGAGATGTCTCAAAGCGCTTCACAGAATATACTGTAATTGATATTAACAATATAAAAATTGATATTAACAATACAATAATCTATATTAACATTTTTATTAATAATGTAACAGTGTATATTAATAATAGATTAATGATATAGTAATTATATTGATAATATATTGCAGCTGTAGTTTGTTGTATCGCAAATTAATTGCTACTGTAAAATCCTGTGTTATCAATTAGAGTCAAAATGACCAAGGTAAATGTGATCAAAACAATCATTAGATGGGTGAGGAAATGTTGATATGCATCAATCTCCCTGAAATAAAGACCCATGATATAAAGAAGTAAAGCTAAAACTTCAGCTGTTCAAGTTGGCTTGAGAGTGAGGACGTCATTCACTTCTCCAGGAAGGGAAAACTCACACCCATCCACTCGAGTGTCCAAGATTCAAGCAATATCGGAATAAGAACAAAGACAACAACTTGCACTTATATAGTGCTCTCCGTTCAATGTAGCTCTCAGAGTGGCTGAAAGCGTGACCTCCAATGGTGGAACAGAGGATGCGAGGAACAAGCAGGAGGCTGGTGACAGTCGAGCGGAGGCGCCAGTTGGTGGATTGGTGAGTGAGGAGGTCGGAGAGGTAGGGAGGTGCCAGGGAGTGAATGGATTTAAACACAAGTGTGAGGATCTTGAAGTCAATTTGTTCTGTGATGGGGAGCCAGTGGAGCTTGGCCAGAATTGGTGAGATGTGGGTACAGAGATTGGTCCAACTAAGTTTGCAGGCAGCAGAGTTCTGAATGAGCTGGATTTTTTGAACAGTGGAGCTGTGGAAATCAGCAAGGAGTGCGTTTGAGTAATCCAAGCGGGAGGTGACAAACTCATGCACAGGGGTTTTGGCTGCATTTGGGGTAAGTTACAGTCGGAGGTGGGCAATGTGGCAAAAGTGAAAGAAGGTGATCCTGGTCAGAGACCAGATATGGGGAAGAAATTATAGCTGGTGGCTGAACTGGACACCTGGATTACGCACTGGTTCGGTGAGTGTGAAGGAGAGCCCAGGGAGGTTGAGAAGTTCAGATCCGCAGGAGTAAAGACATTGACGGGAGCCAAGGAGAATAGCTTCCGTCTTGTCCACATTCAGCTGCAAGTTTTTTGCAATCTCCAGTCCTTGATGTCTGCCAATCAAGCTGATAGAACATCGCCGGACCTGGAGTTGGTACTGGAGGAGGCCAAGTAGATTTGTGTCTCTTCCGCATAAACAAGGATATTTACCCCATGTCTGCAGATGACATTGCCCAGAGTGAGCATATAGATAAAGAAAAGACGTGGGCCAAGGATGGAGCCCTGGGGTACCCCACAGGTAATCAAGCGGTGGCGGGAGTAGAAACCATTCGCTGGAGGAAGTGGAGGTTGGTTAATAATAATAATGATCCTTACATTTGATATAGTGCTTTTCACGCCTTCTAGACATCTCAAGGAGCTTCACAGGATATACTGTAAAGTGAATTGACTGTATTTTATGGACAAAATGCGGCAACCAAGTGCGCACAGCAATGTCCCACAAACAGTCCTGGATTAAATGACCAAATTATTATTGTTTTTTTTCTTGAGGGATTATTATCAGGCGTGTGATGTAAGGAAACTTGCCCAAGGTTTTGCCCTGTTGCGAATCAAACCCAGGTCTCTCACTTGCGAGGCGAGTCCTCCAACTGAGCTACACGACTCCACAGTTCAGGTGCTGATCCATGCAGAGCAGCAAGATCAATGTTTGGGGGAGTGTCAGCATCTCAGCTGATGTGTCCTTAGCCTATGTGACAAATGATCAGCTTTGCCTGTTTTGTATTCCCTTGATGATCAAATGCATGTAATGCTAAGTACAACAACTACAACAAGAACAACAAAATTACATTGATAGAGCTCCTTTCACGTCCGGAGGACATCCCATAGGGCTGAAGTAGGATTCAAACCATGAGTTCAGTCCCACCAAGGTGGATGAGGGAGGAAAGGCAGTGGAGGAGGATGGCGTGGTCAACTGTGTCGAATGTGGAAGAGAGATCCAGGAGCATGAGGAGGCAAAGGGAGCCTTACTCAGAGACAGAGAGGACATCATTTGTGACTTTGACAAGTGCTGTCTCTGTGCTGTGGGCAGGGCGAAAACTACTCTCTCCCCAGAGGGATGCACCCCATGCATCTAATCCTGGAGGATATTAGGCACAGGATGGAAAGAGCCAACGCTTGAGGACCCCAGACTATGTGTTTGGGGATTGATGGATTTTAACAGCTAATACCCCTCCTCTCACCCTCCCTGCCATTGAAAGTGTTGTGATCAGAAGTCAATTATTATTTTAGCTGGGATTGAGCTGACCTGGGGATTATAATCTTGATTATAAATGTTGTTTCGATTAAGGGAAAATTGCTTACACATGTTGTCAGGTATCAAGATGATTTGTACAATCATGTTCATAAAATATTGGTCTGATTAAATGAGTTACAGAACTTCTATCTAAGCATAACAGATGTTACGGGATACCTAATATAACATTGAATAAAATGGCATGAGAAAATTTCAATCTGCTGTGTATGCAATATGAAAAGTTAATTTGGCTAAGAAAGAGGAGGTGAATTTGTAATTATAATAATAATAATGATTTTATTTGATACAGTACCATTATATCATTGAGATGTTTCAAAGCGCTTCACAGCATATACTGTAATTATGTTAACAATATAATAATTTATATTAACGATTTATATTAAGAATATAATAATGTATATTAATAAAAGAATTATATTATTATATTGCAGCTATAGGTTGTTGTGTCACAAATTAATTGCGACGGTAAAATCCTGTGTTGTCAATCAGTGTCCAAAGGACCAAGGTCAATGTGATTAAAACAATCATAAGATCATAAGAACAGAATAAATGCTAGACGAAAAAAGACCAGGACAATCTAGTTTGCCTTCCACCTTCCTGACGGTCGCTTGCAGATATGTCCCAAACTATCTATGTACTATATTCCATAATGTTATTTCCCCAAAGAAAACTAACCTTTGTTTGAAAGAATCAAAACTTCCTGCTTCAACTGTCTCCCTAGGTGCCTGTTCCACAGGTTCATTATTCACTCACTAGAATAGTCTTTGGTAGATTTGTTCTGAATTTATCCCCCTTCAATCGCAGGTTGTGTCCTCTGGTTTTACTATGCTGGACAAGTTGAAAAGGCCTGTCATGATCTATAATGTCTTGCCCCATTAGAATCTTAAAGACAGCAATCATGTCACCTCTCAATCTTCTCTTTTCCAACATGAATATGCCCAATTTACTTAGCTGCTCCTCATAGTCCAGTCCCTCCACTCCCACAATCATTTTGGTTGCCCTCCTCTGTATCTTCTCGATTTCTCCAATATCCTTTTTGTACTGTGGTGACCAGAACTGTACACAATACTCTAAGTATGGTCTCACCAATGATTTATACAGTGGCAGGATTACCCCACTATTTCGGTTTTCTATTGATCTTTTGATACATCCCAACATCTGGTTTGCTTTACTCACTGCCACAGAGCATTGTTAGGAGAGCTTCAATTTATTGTCAATCAGGACCTCCAGGTCCCTTTTCATTTTCCATACATATTATTTTCCTTCTGTTCAAATAATAGTACCTTCCAGAATTTTTTGTCCTTATGTGAAGTACTTTACATTTCTCCACGTTGAATTTCATCTGCCACCGATCTGCTCAATTCCCAAGTTTTTTCAAATCTTCCTATAACCTATGTTGTTCAACTTCACAATATACTACCTTAATTAGCTTGGTGTCATCTATAAACTTAGCCACTGTGCTTGCGACTCCTAGTTCCAGATCATTTATAAAAATATTAAACAAAAGAAGTTAGGTAGGTGAGGAAGTGTTGGCATCCACTAATCTCCCTGAAGTAATGAACCATGATATAAAGTATAGCTGCGTTACACTTTAGCAGTTAAGAGTTGGCGTGAGAGTGAGCACATTGTACACTCTTCAAGGAAGGGAGAACTCACACCTGAGGTTCTGAGATTCCATCCACTCGAGTGTCCAAGATGAGCTGAGCTTAAAAGCACAATATTGTTGTAACCCTACATACTGTAGCCTATTGATTGAATCAATGCAAAGCTATATTGTTGCATTAACAATAAATTATTAAGAATAGAATACAAATAACTTTTGTCATTTCGCAAGGTGAGGGGAATGTGGGATGGAGTTCCATAGGGTGGGGGCATGAAGGTTGAAGTCCCGACCTCTAATGGTGGGGCGGGCTGAGCAGGGTACGTGGAGCAGGACACAGCCTGGTGAGCGGAGGGAGCGGACAGATTGATATGGGGTCAGCAATTTGCAGAGGTTGGGAGGAGCAAGGCAGTGGAGGGCCTTGAAGGTGAGGATGAATATTTTGAAAGGTGCAGGTGATGGGGTCATGGAGGCTGGTGTGGGAGAGGACATGAGCTGTAGAGTTCTGGATGATCTGCAGCTTGTGGAGTGTGCATCCATGGATGGTGGCGCTGCCAGCGCCTGAGGTACTGCGGAATCTATTAAAGATTTTAAGATGGAGATAGATAAGTATTGAACTAATACAATGGCAGAGGTAGATTGAGAGGCTAAATGGTCTATTCCTGCTCTTATATTTCTGTAAGTTATCAATTAACTTCACTTTGTGCTCACAAGGTGTTGTGCAGGTTTTTAAGCACATTGAGACATCCTCCTGACATGAAAAGATATGATGTAAACATAAAAGGTTGCTGTTAGCAAGTGTATTACAATGACAAATTCCAGAAATGCGCAACACTCAATTCAACTGTGAACTCTCTGTGTTTTACATCCTTGAAAATATCTCAAAATTAATGCTCATAGTTTAATATATTACTATGGGGAGTACAAATTAGACAATACAATGATACCAAATCTTCTGATATGAATTCAACAGTGCCAGATTAAATCTTGAGGTGTTTTATCTCTTCACTTTCATTTCTCTTTTAAAAACTATTATTTTATAATTATTCTTAAAGGCTCTGCTTTGAACTGAAACTCTAGTTCCATTTCAGCGTTCTCATCCTTTTTCACTGTTGTAACACAATCCTTCTTCTTGGTGGCAAAGCTGTAACAAAAGGCAGAACATTAAATAATCAAGTACACACAATAATCTTAACTTCCTCAATTTTGGAAACCTTTGCGCTCTTTGAGGTGAAAACTGAACATTTTTTCATACTGATGTCTGAATCATGACATCTGTAGCAGGAGTCATAAATAGTGACTTTAATGCTTAGTGTCCCAAAATGCTGGGGAGAAGGCAACAATGAGTCAGGGAAAGGAAAGTTGGAACGGAGAAAGAAAACATAGATATGAGAAATGGCAATTGAACTTAGATCCCTTTACTTACCATGCTAATGGCTGAACCTGCTCAATAATCTCTGGAAGAGAGACCTCACGTGATTCAGGTAGAATTAAACTGAGAACTCCAGCTATCAGTGTCAAGATACCCATAATTATAATAGGTAACATCTTGTTAAATGTTCCTGAAAGGTAGAAAAACTTTGGAAGTTACAATAATCCACTTCATTTTTTTATCATGGAAACCAAACCAGACGACTTTCTGTGCTATGTGCAGTGAATGCAGAACTAGTGATCATATGACATTATAAGGCTGGGCTATTCTATAAACACACATACACTTTCTCCCTCCCAAACTGCCACATTATATCAGAGTTGTGCTGCATCTATGTGGTGGCTCTTTTGTACAGATTACATAAACCTGTGCTGTTAATGGAGAAATGAGCTTCACAAAGAAAATCACTGAAACTTAGATCTAAGACACAATCTCAATAACTAGCAGTTGAAAGTCTCAATCTGTGAGTGAGGCAGAAGACAAATGTGTGACTGGATGTCAGTAAAGAGAACAGTGTGAGGAAAGGGGGCAGAGGATTCCACCTTTCCCAATTTCCAAATGTATACTTAAGCAATCTTTTAATTTAGACTATACGTTCTGTCTGGCAAGCTTTCCATTGTTTGTCTAGCAAGGACCATCGTACCTGAAGGGATCTTGCTTGCAGAATTACAATAGGACACAAGTGGCGAAATTCCTCAGTCCCATTGGCCACTAATACACCCTGCTGATGGAAAAGGCTAGCTGGCCTGTCATCAGCCTTGGAGTACTTCCTCCTCACAACAAAAGAGTCACGAGCGTGTGAAGTAATTTGGGTCCACTAAGAGCACTTTAATTACCTCCTCAAATCACGGTAAAATACAAGCTGGGGCCAGAAGGTCTGCATGATTCTAGACTGGTGACAAACTTTGCAATTTGATATAGTGCTTAGAACGTTGAAACGCAAGTCACAATTTCTGTAAAATGTGCATTTATTATCAAATGTGGGAGCAAATTTGTATACAGAAATGTCCCACAATCAGCCATGACGTGTGTGTAAGAACGGAGGGCTTTGAAGGTAAAGACCAGGATCTTGAACTGTATCCTCTGAGGGATGGGGAGCCAGTGGAGCCGGGCGAGAATGGGGGTGAAAGGGTCATGAAGCCTGGTGTGGTGGTGTGGGAGAGGACACGGGCTGCAGAGTTCAGGATGATCTGCAGCCTGTGGAGGGAATATTTGGGGAGGCTGACAAACTGGGAGTCTGTATAGTCGAGCCTGGAAGTAATGAAGGCAGTGGTGGAGGAGGGCAATTTTGTGGAAGTGGGGAAAGATGGAGTGGGTTACGGCATGGATGTGGGGGAGACGTCGAGGTTCTGTATTGGCTCCTTGAGATGTAGAGTGCATCTCTACACGATGCTTTCAGTGCCCGAAGTATGGAGGTGCTGATGGGAACCAAACAGGAGGGCCTTGGTCTTGTTCACATTCAACTGGAGGAAGTTAGCTCTCATCTAGGACTTGATATCTGACAGGCAGCCTGTGAGGACAGCATGTGGAGTCCTGAGCTCAGTGGTTAGAGCACTCGCTTTGCAAGCGAGAGACCTGAGTTCAATTCCAGGCAGAGGGCGAAACCTTGGGCAAGTTTCCTTACTCCACACGCCTAATAATAATCCCTCCAAAACCAAAAACAATAATAAATTGGTCATTTTCAATCTACGACTGTTTGTGGGACACTGCTGTGCGCAATTGGCTGCTGCGTTCGCCCACAAATATACAGTCAATTCACTTTACAGTGTGTTCTGTGAAGCGCTTTGAGACGTCCTCCCAACGTGAAAAGCGCTATATCAAATGCAAGGATTATTATTATTATTATCCTGGAGTCAAGGATGGAGGCGGAGAGGTAGAGTTGTGTGATATCAGCATACATGTGAAAGTTGACCCCATGTCTATGGATGAGGTCACCATGTAAACATTGAAAAGGAGGGGCACAAGGACAGAGCCCTGAGGGACACCACACATGATGGTGGGGGGCTGGAGGAGAAGACATTAGTGGAGACATGGTGGAGACTGTGGGAAAGGTAGGATTTGAACCAGGCAAGGGCATGTCCATGAAGGTTGAGCTGAGGGGAGAGGCTGTGGTGGAGGATAGAATAGTCGACAGTGTCAATGGCAGCAGAAAGGTCAAGGAGGACAAGGAAGGAGAGAGAGATCTGGTCACAGATGGACAGAATGTAATTAGTGACTTTGACCAGGGCTGTTTCCGTGCTGTTGGCAGCATGGAAACTCGATTGGAGGAGTTCAGAGAGGGAATGGCAAGAGAGGAGCCTAGAATATGAGCTCAAATTACAAACATGAGGCTTAAACCTACAACCTTCTGACCCACAGAAGAAAGTGCTATTATATGAGCCAGGTCGAAGTAAACATGCAAAATGCAAATTTGGCAAATTCTTCAATTCAGTCTTAATTTGGAACCCATTTTTTCCCAACTTCACAAATTATGACTGAATTTAAGAAGTTACTACAATTTTCAAGCTCTGAAATTTAAAAGAAATAGTCTACGTTTTGAACCAGGTGAAATTTCTGGTTTGAATAGCAAACATAACAGTTTGAAAAATAAAAGTTTGATGCCAGCACTGCTCTTACTCCGGGTAAATTGTCCAATTGTCTACAAGATAACTCTTCCTTATGCTGCACCATGTACACTATGTGTATTCTGTACCCCAATCAATGTAGCCAATGAAAATATGTTGTAACCGATGAGCAATTCCTATAAAAAGTACCACCCTCTCTTCCACAGCTAGCTAATACCACATCAAAGCTTTATAATAATTACTGAAAAGTTTTCAAAACTATTAAATAAAGGTTAGGTATTTTACTTACCGAGGTAAACAAAATATGGGGCGAGTATGGCACCAATCCTGGATGTCATGCAACATGTCCCAATGCCCATGTTTCTCACAACAGTTGGATATAGCTCAGATGAGTAAACAAAGATTATAGCAAAGGTGGCAGATATACTCAATTTGCCAATCATTGCCAGCGCAGTGGCAATTATATGTAGATCTTTGAAATTCAAATGAAAATACAGTAGTTAGGCCTAAACTTCACAGCAACAGACAATTCAAAATAATTTATATTCATCACCTTTTATATGTTGCTTTCATTTTTAACCATTACAAAATACTATAAAGAAATAGATTCTTTAACAATGGTGTTAGAGTTTGAACAAAGCTGGTCAATTTGTAATTGTCATTCTGTCACCAACATATTCTGCAAACAAATATCAACATCTGAACTGACAATTGTGAGTTTCTCTTAATAGCACTGATAGATACAAAGCCATTTTAGACTCTCGGCTTTTCTGCCCCCACCATCTGGAACTCCATCCTGGATTCCCTCCACCTTGCCCTCCCTTGTCTCCTTCAAGGCCCATCTCAAGACCCTTCTCGTTGACCATGCCTTTGACGACCCTCCCAACTGCACACTCCCTGTCGACCAACCCTGTTGATTCTAACCCCCATCTCGGGCGCAAGCCATTGATTGTCCAGTGCCTAAGGACTGTATGAGAGCTAACTTTCTTTAGTTGAACATTAATAAGACCGAGGCTCTCCTGATTAGCTCCCGTCAGCACCTCCTCACCTCAGTCGCTGACAGCATCACCATCCAAAGTTGCACACTCCGCCCTGCTAAGCCAGTCCGGAACCCTGCGGTCTTGTTTGACTTTCAACTATCTTTTCTATCCCACATCTGCTCCATGACCTGCTCTGCCTTCCCCCACCTCCGCAAAGTCGCCCGGCTCGGACACTGTCTCACACTGCAGGCCACCAAAACCCTCATACATGCCTTCATTACATCGAGGCTCAACTGTGCAAACTCACCTGTTATCGGCCTCCCCAACTCCTCCCTCCACATGCTGCAGATCATCCAGAACTCTGCAGCCTGTATCTTCTCCCGCACTAGGCTATGCAACCCTAACAGCCTCATCCTTGCCCAACTCCACTGGCTTCTAATCACATGGAGGATGGAGTTCAAGATCCTGGTCCACACCTTCAAAGCCCTCCACCTTAAAGCCCTCCTTCAAAGCCCTCTTTCTCCCGCCTACCTCTCCTTACCTCCATCTTCGCTCCCTTCGTTCAGCGGGCTCCGGCCTACTACACGTTCCCCGCCTTGCTCACCCCACTATTGGCAAGCAGGCCTTCCACCACTCTGCACCCACCCTCTGGAACTCCATCCCCCTGTCCCTCCATCTCGCCCCCTTCCTCGCCATCTCCAAGACCCACTTCAAGAACCTCCTCTTCAGCCATGCTTTCGATCACCCTGCTTCCAACCCCGCCCTCCACCATACCCCACCCTTCCCCTAAATGGGTCCATAACTCTGTCTGTCCAGCGACTTTGGGACATCCTACCAATGTGAAAGACGCTATACGAATGTAATTTTATTGTTGTTGCTGTTGTTGTAGGGACATCCTTCCAAAAGGTGAAAGCTGCTAAAAGGTGCTGTATAAATGCAATTTGTTGTTGTTCTTATGGTTCTTGAATTGGTTGGTGTTGAGGGCAGTTTTAGATTTTGCAGGGAGCACATTTATGTGCTCGACTGACACCGGCCTCCTGCTCGTCCCTCACACCCTCTGCCATGCCATCGGAAGACGCACTTTCAGCCAGTACGCCTGAAACTCTAGAACGCTCTCCCTCAGTGCCTCCGCCTTGCCCCCTCTCTCCCCTTTTTCAAGTTCGACCTGAAAACTTTCTTCTTCGACCATGCTTATGGCCACCTCCAAGCACCCCCACCCAACCCCCACCCCCAGCTGGGAGACAGGCTATGCTACTGTTAAGCGCTCTGAGACGCAAAGAAAATAATTTATGTACCAGATGGAATAAAGTTTCTGACAACAACAACAAAATTACATTTCTAAAGCGCCTTTCATGGTGGGAGGACATCCCAAGGTGCTGAATAGTCAGGGATCAGGACCGGAGAGTGGGGGTGCAGGGTTGGGATGAGGGAGGGCAGGGAGTTAGGAGGGCGGCTGAAGGTACGGTCAAAAAGGAGGATTTTGAGTTCTGCCTTGTAGGAGGCAACGGAGGGAGCAAGGCAAAAGGATTGTGGGATGGAGTTACAAAGGGTGGGGCTAGAGAGGCTGAAAGCCCGGCCGCCAATGGTAGCTTTGGGACGTCCTCCCGATGTGAAAAGCGCTATATCAAATGCAAGGATTATTATTATTATTATTAGGGTGGGTCGGGCAGGAGACGTGGAGCAGGCTGGAGCCTGCTGAACACAGGGAGCAGACAGGTTGATAGGGGTTTAGCAGGTCAGAGAGATAGGAGGGGCAAGGCCATGGAGGGCCTTGAAAGTGAGGACGAGGAATTTGAACTTGATCCTCTGAGGGATGGGGAGCCAGTGGAGCCGGACGAGGGTGATGGGGTCACAGATCCTGGTGTGGGAGAGGTCACTAAGAGGGATTATGTACAGATTGAAGAGGAGGGAAGCGAAGACAGAGCCCTGAGGAACACCGTACAAGAATGTGCGAAGAGAAACCGTTGGTGGAGACAAATTGGAGGTGGTGTGAGAGATAAGAGCTGAACCATTCAAGGTCAGAACCTTGAAGGTTAAAGTGAGAGGAGAGGTGGTGGAGGAGGATGGAATGATCCACAGTATCCAAGGCAGCAGAGAACACAGATTGACTATGTCTTTAATATGCTCTGCGACGCCACCCTGCACTAAGGGCCCTATATAAATGCAAGTTATTGTTGGTGAAAGGTTTCAACATTTTGAATTTCAGGAACAAATGGATGAAGCACTTACTTGCAGGCACTATTGAAGTCAGCAGCAACAGAGCTCCACCAACTAACAACATGGAACTATTCGCAATTCTTCGAGATGCTTTGTGCAGCAGCCACCAGGCTACTAGGTATGCTCCAATTTCAGAAAAACCACTGATACAACAATTAATGTAGGGGTCTCCGTACAAGTTGGAAGTGTTCAGAGATAACCCATAGTAACCAATGGTTACAACAAACCTGCAACAAAGCATAAAACAAAGCTTGATTTTTCCATTGACTCCTCACCGGTCTCTCCAGCCTTTCTATAAACAAGGTCCAAATAATACAAAACTCTGCCATCTGTATTCTGACCCTTACCAGTCTCACCACAGTTCTTGCCAGGTTGCACTGGCTCCCTGTTGCAGATTAATATTATTTTGTAATATTATTTCAAGATCTCACTTTCAAATCAATTCACATCCTGCCACCTCTGTACCTCTCTGATCTGCTCACATCCCACTCCACTACCCACCGCTTTCACTCAGCTGGTTTGAGTCTTGTAACTCTCTCCTATTCTCCACATCACCATTGACTAACATGCTTCCAGCCACTGTGCCCGAATCTCTGGAACCCCCTGCCTCAATCCAGCTGTTTTACCCCACCTTTGCCCATCTTCAAATCACACCTGAAGGCTTTCCTCTTCAATCGTGCCTTTGGTCAACCATCCCACCCACCACCTCTCTCTTTCCAGCTCAGCGTCAAAACACGCGGTTGTTACATATTACAAGTTACAACTCTGATCTATAATTTGGAGTTTCTCTCAAGACACCAAGACCATGCACCAGGTATAGACAAAAAGATAAGTTAGTGACCTACTTCCATGAATCAATCAAAGCCATTGGCAGTGACAAGAAAGTAAATATGTCGTTCTGTCAGTTTTTCTTTAACATGGTTTATCATGCCTTTGCTCAACATCTTCAGTAAGCAACATGTTGACAGCAGAGCATGTCATGGTGGAGTCATGGTGGAGTCCTATAGCTCAGTGGTTAGAGCACTCGCTTTGTAAGTGAGAGACCTGAGTTCAATTCCAGGCAGAGGGCGAAACCTTGGGCAAGTTTCCTTACTCCACACGCCTAATAATAATCCCTCCAAAAAACAAAAACAATAATAAAAAATTGGTCATGTTCAATCTACGACTGTTTGTGGGACATTGCTGTGCGCAATTGGCTGCCACATTCGCCCACAAATATACAGTCAATTCACTTTACAGTATATTCTGTGAAGCGCTTTGGGATGTCCTCCCGACGTGAAAAGCGCTATATCAAATGCAAGGATTATTATTATTATTTATCAGGAATTCATCATTTTGGGGAATGAAACCTACTAGGGCACTTTGTGATAAAACTGCAATCAACTGCAAACATGCTCTGATGTTTGCAGTCAATGGCTGAATCTGATTGCTAAGTTCTATTCATGCTAGATGGTAAAAAATCCAGAATGATTTGGCATTTTTATTTCATCTATTATGTCAACATATTTCCCACTTTGATTATTTAATAGCTATCTTGATATTAAGCAGAGTGCATTTCTATAAACTTAAAACTTTAAAAAATGGATAGTGAGCTAATATTTTCATTAGTGAAAAAATATAGGGGTAGGGTTAGATTATACTTTTATGTACAGTAGAATCAATTAATATAGAAGCACTGACCGATGATCACAACTCATTGTAATGCCTGTTGGGATTTTATGGACCCCAGCTTCTGTTCTAATGCTCTCTACTATGCTTACAAAAATCTAATCTAACCCTACATTATTGGGTTAAAATTTTCCAGCCTAAGACATAGTTCCTTTTGGGGTCTTCATGTCACTAATATCACTTCCTGTGTGGAAATGACATTGATGACCACTCTATCCTCATCCACAGCCTCTCCTCTCACCTCACCCTTCATGGTGCTATCCTTGACTGGTTCAGATTATACCTCTCACTCAGCCTCCACTTCATCTTCACAAAACACTTTCTCCTCTAAACCCCCACACCACATCGTGCAGCATTCCTCAGGGCTCTGTCCTTGGCCCCTCCTCTTGAATATCTATATGCTCGCTCTTGGTAACATCATCCGCAGACAAGAGGTCAACTTCCACATGTATCCGGATGACACCCAACTGCACCTCTCTGCCTCCACCCTTGAATCCGGGTCCACTGCTGTCCTGACAGAATGTCCATCAGACATCAAGTCCTGGATGAGATCTAACTTTCTTCAGTTGAATGTCAACAAGACCGAGGCGCTCCTGATTGGTTTCACACTTCAGGTGCTGACAGCCCGGCTCCGCCTCTGTCTCACACCGATTGCCGCCGAGACCCTCATACATGCCTTCATTACATCGAGGCTTGACTATGCAAACTCCTTGCTTGTTGGCCTCACCAACTCCTCTCTCCATAGGCTGCAGATCATCCAGAACTCTGCAGCACATGTCCTCTCCCGCACCAGGCTCCCTGACCCTATCAGCCCCATCCTCGTCCGACTCCACTGGCTTCCCATCACACAGAGAATACACTTCAAGATCATGGTCCTCACCGTTAAAGCCCTCCATTTTCTTGCACCCCCCTATCTCTGTAACTTCCTAACTCCCTACCATCCTGCTCGCTCCCTCTGCTCAGAGGTTTCCAGCGTGCTTCATGTCCCCTGCCTCACTCGCCCCACTATTGGTGGGGGGACCTTCTGCCACTTGGCCCCTCTGGAACTCCACCCCACAGTCCCTCCATCTTACCCTCTCCCTTGCCTCCTTCAAAACCCATCTCAAGACCCTCATCTTTGACCATGCTTTCGATCTCCCTGTTTCCCCACACCCCCACTGCCCTCCACTCCTCCCGATCCCGACCCCAAGCTCGGGTCTGAAACTCTGACTGGACAGCACTTTGGGACGTGCTCCAAATGTGAAACATATTGTACAAATGTAATTTTGTTGTTGTTGGTCCGATGTCCTGGATGTCAGCCATTTTTTAGCTTTTGAGAAGTCAGATAGCATTTTGAAGTGAGCTGTCTGACTTTCTGCATCCATCTTGGATTGTTTCGTTAAATAATACAATTAACCACAGCAACAACAATTTGCATTTATATAGCATCCTCCACATGGGGTAGTGTCTCAGAGAGCTGAACAATGGTAAAGTTTAACACTGGATCCTTGCATTTGTTATAGTGCCTAATCCTTGCATTTGATATTGTGCCTCAATATGTTGATGAGATGCCTCAAAGTGTTCTACAGGATTTACTTATAGAGGGAGTGCAAAAAAAGTCCAAGTTAGAAGTACAACTCATGGAATCCAGACCTTAAATTTCAGAGTTTCATTCCAAGTACATAAATCAAGTAGCAATCAATATCAGAATCACTTTAGCCATCTGGTTGCTCATGTATATTCTGAGCCAGCCAACTTTGGGTGTTTGTACTTCTTTTTGATAAAACCTCCACTCACCATATGACAAAGGATATGATAGAGATGTTTCTTATATTGGACGTTCGAAACAAATCCAAGAAGTTGTATGCACGTATATTGTTAGTCACATCTTTCTGCAGCTGGACAAACAGAAAAGATTATTCTCCTAAAGAATGTACAACTTGCAAGTTATCAGAACAATCAAAGTTTTTATAGTTTCAGCTTTCATTCCTTTGCAGATTTTCAAAAAAAGGCTCATCAACAAGTTATGCAAATATATTTTATGTAGATTTTAAACTAATAAAAAACACAGAGATTACAAACTATAAATATTCGATTATGTCAGGAGGATGTCTCAAAATGCTGGATGGGCATCTGAGCTGGGAGTGGGAGATGGGGAAGGGGAGAGGAGGGATGGATAGTGAAAAGATGACTGAAAGCATGGTCAAAAAGGTACATTTTGAGAGGTGCCTTGAAAGATTAATTGGAGGAAGTGAGTCGAAGAGAGTCCAGGATGGAATTCCAGAGAATGAGGCAGAATGGCTGGAAGCCCACTCATGGATGCAAGGCCGGATAAGACAGGAGCATGGCACAAGTCGATGTTCACTGAGTGAAGGGAGCAGCTGGGTCAGTAGGGTTGAAGAAAGTCACAGAGGTAGGGTGTAGTGATACAGTGGAGGGATTTAAAAATCAGAATGAGGATCTTGAACTCAATCTGCTGGGAAATGGGGAGCCAATAGAGTCATACTAAATAAATCATTACTTTAAGCCAAATGTCTTTGGCACAATTTGCTCTGACTATCTAAAAAAAGTTATTCAATTCCGACTTTTGATCTTGTTGGGTTTAAAGGATTGACAAGGGATTCTGCTTTGGTTTCATCCGGGCTGTGTTTGCATATGAAATCAGAAAGCAGTTGCTCAAAGGAGTGAACCAATAGCCAAAAGTATTAGCTGTCAAAGGCCGTGTCCATGAGGTAATCAGACAAGAAGTTGGTCAAAATCTAATTTGCACCAAACAACAAACAAGAGCGTGAACAAAGCTCTTCTGCCTCACTCAGATCAATGAAAGGTTTGGAAAGAATTCAGATTTAAATATTAGCCAGTTAATTTGAGGCTTTTGAGAGAAATGCAATTGGCTCCCAGGGTTTGTGCAATGCGAAGGTTTGGTTAACAATACAAAAGTATGACTGGATGAGTCTTTAATCGATTTTTACGTCAATTCCTTGTTTTTGAAACAGCTGAAAATTTCAACTGCAAAGGTAAAGCTTTTTTAAAAGATTTTCTTAGTCTACATATCTTGTACTCCTTGTGCCATCTCTTATCTTTGATTGGAAAATAATCTGCATCAGCTCTTAATATATCTGTCTTCCATACAAGACTAGGAGCACAGCAAGTGGTCTACATTAAATCTAGTATCTTGAGGACTTGTTGTGGTCCTGAGAAGTCAAGTTATTAAACAACAGCCACAGCTTGCATTCCAGGTCATAGGGATCAGGTGTCAGCGTATGTGAAATTTTTACTCAAATAAATATGAGCAGCTTTGAAAGAATTGTTTGAATTCTAACACCAACTCAAGAATCATTCTGTCCCTTCCAATGTATGTTTACCCTAGTCTGTACCTATTCTGATATCATAAAATTATTTAATAGGTATGATCAAACGAAGAATACTATTTGATCCATTTGAACTAATGCTTCCTGAATATCCAACTTATCGTTTTCCCATCACACCATCAAGATTTTTTTTTTTACAAAATGAGTCCAATGTGCTGGCGACAACCCCCATATCTAGCAACCTGTTCCTATTATTAATTACCTTCTGAGTAAAGAAAACCAAAATGCTCTCCATCTAGAAATTGCCCTTTGCAACTCTAAACATGCATTCTCTTACTCTACTGCCTTAATGCAACCTGAAGCATTGTACTGAACTTGCTTTTTCAATCCTATTTAAAATGTTCCGTAGCTCTGTAAGGTCCGCTCGGAGATGTCGCCTTTCAGGATTGAAGAGTCATAGCTTGTCTAATCGTTGCTCATATCCCATTCCTTTAACACTGGGAATTATCCTTGTGGCTCTTCTCCGTACTGCCTCTGTGACTTGGACAGATAGAATTATACAGCACAGAAGGAGGCCATTCGGCCCATCGTGTTTGTGCCAGTTCTTTGAAAAGAGCTATCCAAATCAATTCCACTCCCCCATTCTCTTCCATAGCCCTGCAAATTTATAGAGTTAAATGCAGCCTGACCAGAGTACAATATAACTTGAGTATTATATCTGGGGTTCTGAGCTTAACTAATTCGATATTATAGGGAGGGCTCCTGATTTTCAGTTTTAACCAAAACCCCCCGATAAACAACCCCAATAATAATCCCTCCAAAAACAAAACAATAATAAATTGGCTATTTTTAATTGGTTAAAACAACACAAAAAGAATAAAATCAGTGTTTATCCAAGTAACACCGGAAAAACACCGAAAATATATGACCTGACGTAAGTCGATGAAATATCTGAACTGATGTAAGTTTCTCTCTTGCTAGCTTTCAGCGCCTTCGTGGAGTGTCGCTGAAAGCCAGTAAGAGAGAAAACCCCACATGGAGTTTTTCTCCTGCTTGCTTAATAGTAATAATCCTTGCATTCGATATAGCGCTTTTCATGTCTTCTAGACTTCCCAAAGCGCTTCACAGAATATACTGTAAAGTGAATTGACTGTATATTTGTGGGTGAACACGGCAGCCAATTACACACAGCAATGTCCCACAAACAGTCATGGATTGAAAATAACCAATTTATTATTGTTTTTGGTTTTGGAGGGATTATTATTAGGCGTGTGGAGTAAGGAAACTTGCCCAAGGTTTCGCCCTGCCTGGAATTGAACTCAGGTCTCTCACTTGCAAAGCGAGTGCTCTAACCACTGAGCTACAGGACTCCATAACATACTCCTGGTATGAGCACAAGGAGAGAGAAAGGCGCCTTTATTCATGCGCAGTGCCTCTCTCCTCTTCACCAGATGGACCTGTGCAGACCGAGGAAAGGGAGAGATGGAGATCAAGCAGAGTTTGTGAGAGGAGGGAAGCATTAGGGAGGCACTGTGCATGCATGAGGGCACCTCTCTCCTCTCTCCCCTCTGTGTGTGCAGGTTTATCTTCTCTGTACAGTAACGAAAGCCCGAAAATCCCGATTTATAAACACTCTAAAATTGCTAAAATATTCCTGCCAAATCAAGTTAATAAACACGGAAAAAAAGAAGCCCTAATGATAGCCTAGGATCCTGTTTGCCTTGTTTATTGCTACCTTATACTATTTTGACGTGTTGAGGGATAGGCCAACTGAAAGCTTACATCTGTTTCAGCTTCCCTCTTGGCACATTGCATTCCATCCATGGAGTACATGTGTTTCCTTTTCAGGAGGATGTCCTGAAGCATTTTACAGGATAGACAGTGACTGTTTTGTGGGCAAGGGAGGTAATTGGGACCGAAACAACAACTTCAAAGTGCTTATCGAGAACAATGATAAAAAAAGGAACTGAATTTAAACGAAAAGTAACATGTTACCATGTACGGTATAACATCTTTAGCCTCAGATATCATTCCAGGATATCTAATACCATTTTTCTTAGCAGCAGTTTGCAGTATTGCTTCTGCTTCTTTCACTCGGCCGTGAGAAAACAGCCACCTAGGAGACTCAGGTATAAACCTGAAATGCAAACAGTGTGGATTCAACATTAACCAGAATACAAGACATCACAAAAATATTTACAATAATAGGTTTTGCACATTCTTTAGTTGTGTCTGTGAGGAAGTAGTGACATTCCCTCTCATTCTAATGAGAACCTGATGCCTAAGTTGTGCACGGGTTCAGAGTTTCAAGGACAGATTGGGTAGGTTGGGGACATCTGAACCGCAGGACAGAAGACATCGACAGGAGCCAAGGAGTATGGCTTCCGTCTTGTTGACATTTAACTGCAAGAAATTTGTGCTCACCCAGGTCTTGATGTCTGTCAGACAAGCTGACAGAACATCAGAGGACTGGAGGTCGCAGCTGGAGGAGGAGAAGTAGAGTTGAATGTCATCTGCATACGTGTGGAAGTTATGTGTAAAGTACTTCACATGGGGACAAATCCTGGAAGGGACTATTATTTGAACGGAAGGAAAATAATATGTATGGAAAATGAAAAGGACCCGGGGGTCCTGATTGACAATAAATTGAAGCTCTCCCAACAATGCTCTGTGGCAGTGAGTAAAGCAAACCAGATGTTGGGATGTATCAAAAGATCAATAGCAGCCGAAATAGAGGGGTAATCCTGCCACTGTATAAATCATTGGTGAGACCATACTTAGATTACTGTGTACATTTCTGATCATCGCAGTACAAACAGAGATATCAAGAAGATACAGAGGAGGGCAACCAAAATGATTGTGGGAGTGGAGCGACTGGACTATGAGGAACGACTAAGTAAAATGGGAAAAGAGAAAATTGAGAGACAACATGATTGGTATCTTTAAGATTCTAAAAGGGCAAGACAATGTAGAACATGGCAAGCTGTTTCAACTTGTCCAGAATAGTAAACCCAGGGGACACGGCCTACGATTGAAAGGGGGTAAATTCATAACAAATCTACGCAAACACTATTTCATTGAGCAATAGTGAATCTGTGGAACAGGCTCCTTAGGGAGACGGTTGAAGTAGGAAGTGTTGATTCTTTCAAACACAGATTAGATTGTTTTCTTTTAGGAAGTAACATAAGTAGTTCGGGACATATGTGCTTGCAACCGCCAGGAAGGTGAAAGGCGAACTAGATGGACCTTGGTCTTTTTTCGTGTAGCATTTCTTATGGTCACTTCAACCGTACTTTCGATCACCTTCCATCCCCCCCTGCCCTCCACCCTCCGCAATCCTGACACCTAGCTCGGGTTCAAAACACTGACTGGCCAGCACCTTGGGATGTCCTCCCGATGTGAAAGGCGCAACACAAATGTAATTTTGTTGTTGTTGTTCTCACGTTCTATTTTTCCTCAAGCAAATCATGTCCAGAACTACGTACAGAATCAATTATATAAAATTGGCATTCGTGATCCAATATGCTCTACCACCCAAAACAATTCTTAAAAGTGGAATCATACATTTGAAGTTTAAGGTCTACATGAAATATTATTTCAAAAGATGACCAAATAAACCATTACTCAGATTACAATTATTAACTAATTGAGAAACAGATGGATAATTTTATTTTCTCCAGTGATTACGTATTAAGGTGGCTTTCCCATATTTTAGCTTAATTCAGATAATTTAGCTTAATATTAACAAAAACAAAACTCACCACCAAAATGGCACATACAGAATTTTTGGAAGAAACAAGGCGAGTGTTAACATGCACCAATCTCTGGCATAATATGCAGCTAGAGACAGCAACATGTAACCAAAGGCAAAGAACATACTGATGCCAAGTGTTCCAAAAGCAACCCTCGCAGATTTGCTGAGGATTTCGGATCCTGTTAAAGAACAAATATAAAAATGATACATCATTTATTAAAACCATGTATCCATTAGTACATTCAGTAAAGATGTATGTGTCTTTTTATGCGGAACAAAAATAGACATTCCTTACCATGAAAGCATAAAAGTTTCCACCCCTAGAAAGTTATCAAAAAATCACTTCCTGGAATGAATGAATGTTGGGCAAGAACAGTATCAAACTGAATGTGGTTGGATACCATGCTGATATTCACAGTTAAGGTTCACACACAAATAATGTTACTTGGTGTAAGTAGAATCTATGCGTGTACGATAATTCCCTATTAGAAAGAAACTAATACTATGCAATATGATATTCTTATGGAGTCCTGTAGCTCAGTGGTTAGAGCACTCTATTTGCAAGCGAGAGACCTGAGTTCAATTCCAGGCAGAGGGCGAAACCTTGGGCAAGTTTCCTTATTCCACACGCCTAATAATAATCCCTTCAAAAACCAAAAACAATAATAAATTGGTCATTTTCAATCCATGACTGTTTGTGGGACATTGCTGTGCGCAATTGACTGCCGCGTTCGCCCACAAATATACAGTCAATTCACTTTACAGTGTGTTCTGTGAAGCGCTTTGGGACGTCCTCCAGACGTGAAAAGCGCTATGTCAAATGCAAGGATTATTATTATTATATTCAGAAAATCGGTACCGAGAAACAAATAGAGAGTTTACATTCCATGCCATACAAATGTAAATGTCCTTACATATATCGAACATGAAATTCAGAAATTTGGAACTGAAGTACAAATGGATGGCACACACTTCAGTGCATGCATATGGAAATTTCCATGCAAACTCTTCATAGTTTGCTTTGGACACATTTAAATGTGGTGACAGGTTTCCATGTGTGTTAGGCTGACCAAACAAAAAACAAAACATATTAGACACTCCAAAGATTGTCCATTTCAGGATGAAATGTGGATCAAATAGCTCAAGGTTTGCTGACAATCTTGGCAGGATGATCTAGTGGGGTGGCAGGGGGGAGATGGGTGGGGGGAGATGGGTGGGGGGAGAGACTAAGGTTACTTGTAAATTAACAATCCAAACTTTGTCTTAATATTTAAATATTATGGAAAAATGGAAGTAAGTGGGGTATCTTCTGATGTTATAAAGTGTTAGCTTTAAAGTGTTTAAAAGGGAGAATATCACTTTAGCAGCTTCCATCCACCCTTTGATACTGTTGAAGATTTCATCCTATGATGTGTGGAGAACATTAAATCTGAGAAGAATGGGCACTTGGATGAGATTTCAAAGTGAGCCCAGACCAATGGATCTATTCACCAGAATTAATCACTGCTGTCAAAGGATGAGAAAAATTGGGAAAAAATGTTTTGCAAGTGTTCAAGTAGGTTTCTACACTTGTAAATGCACCAGAGTTTTCAAACAGTTAATATCTTCAGAAGCTTCAAAGTGATAGTCAGTTGATTCATTGCATAAATTTAATGTGCAAGGACATTTTTTATTTATTAAGTTCATAAAAGACATAATATTCCAGGCAGATGACTAAATAATGTTTGTATTGCCAAACCCAAACCATTCGTTTGCAACAGTCACTATCAGTTCCCAATTCTCTCTAAATCTTCTCTACAACTTCATTGCTCTCTTCCTTGCACATCTAGGCAGCGCTGTTGCACATCTAGGAGATTGGGATGACGCAGCCCACATACATTTCCACAAAACACTTCAACACCAAATGTAATGAAAATACGAGAGAGACAAAAGTCTTCATGATGGCTCCCAATTGACTGGCATTTTAAACTAGATCATCCTGCCAAGAGATTATTACCAAACAATTTAAGGGCTCAAAACATTTACATGGAGATTTTCCCTGTTTTCCTGGAGAAATATTGCAATGCCCAGACATTCCCATCCTTCAAAACTGAGGATGTCACAGTGTCAAGCAATCAGTGGACAACATTGAAAAAATGACAACCAGATTAAAACAGGTGAAAATAAACGAGAGGGATTTACAATAATCGTAAAACACAATTATTATTGTTACATTATAAAAACTTACCTAAAACAAAAGTAGATATATAGATGGAAGAAGATCCAAAACCAACAACAAAGTGCAGTACACAGAACATCTCCCAGCTCTGAGAGGCCGTTTCAAGTAGACCGAAGACTAGCTGCACTGTAATGCCTATAAACAGAGTAGTTTTTCTCCCATACCTTAAAAAGAAAATGCATAATTATGAATTCACAATGTAGTTTTCAGACAACATATGCCCTGGTTCCTGCCTGCCTTATTTCTTGTTCCCCTCCGATGTGAATCATTCACAAGTGAAGCACCTTCTTGTCTCCAACCTTTACAATCTTCATCCCTTATATTAAAACAACTTTAAAAAGAAAATAAAAGGGTGTGGCTAGCAGCAAAGAAATTAAGTTTAGATATACAGTCGTAAAAACACTTTTACTGCAGATATTTTTATTGCATAAGAAAGGGGTAATTGTTGGTGCATTTTCAGACTATGGAATTGGATAGACCTCAAAAACCATTTACAGATTAGTCCTTCAGTGCAAAGTCAAAACACTGATTGAACATAAGTATTAACCAGTTAAACCTCACTGAGCCAGTCTAGAAACTTGGTGTCTTGTTTAACCTTTAAATATCCTTTCTATCTGACATCTGTGCCATGATCCGTTCTGCCTTCTCCTACATCCACAACATCGGCTAGATCTGCCACTTCCTCTCCAGAGACCTTCCACGCATTTATTACATCTAGGTCAACTCCCCACTTGTCGGCCTTCCCAACTCTTCCGTCCACAACCTGCAGATCATCCAGAACTCTGCAGCTCATGGGATCTCCCACACCAGACTCCGTGACCCTATCACCCTCACACTTGCCCGGCTCCATTGGCTCCCCATCCCCCAGAGGATACAGTTCAAAATCCTCATCCTCACCTTCAAGGTCCTCCACGGCCTATCTCCTTCCTACCTCTGTGACCAGTTGACACCGTATCAACCTGTCTGCTCCCTCCGCTCAGCAGGGACTGGCTTGCTACACATCCCCCGCCCGGCTCGCCCCACCATCAGTGGTCGGAACTCCAGCTTGTCTCCCCCCATCCTTTGGAACTCCATCCCATAGTCCCTTTGTCTTGCTCCTTCCCTTGCCTCCTTCAGAAGCACGTCTGAAGACCCTCCTCCTCGACCGTGTGGTCGGCCAACCTCACAACCCTACCCTACCTGCCCACCACACTCCCTGATCCCAACCCCTGCTCAGGTCCAGATCCCTGACTTTGCAATCCTGGGACATCCTCCCAACGTGAGAGGCACTTTACAAGTGTAATTTGTTGTTGTTGCTAAACAGTAGCTAATTAGTTCAAGCCCTGCTCCAGAAAAAATATTGAGCAATTAAATAGTGTTATATTAAGAAACCAAAGCATAGTTGTAATTAATGCGGCATTACTATACTTCAGACAACATGTCACAAGTTTGATTCTACCCTTGTATTTTCTAAACCAGATGGCATCCAGTTCACATATCCCTCCATAGCAACTGAAAACAATTAGGCAACAGGTGTCATTTTTGTTACAATGATTTATCTATTGAAGTGACTGTACCTGTCAGAAAATTGTCCTGAGAATAATGAACCGCACAGACCACCCAAGAAAAATACTGACGTAGTAAATGGTCCTTTCCAGTTATTCTCACAGACAAGATCCCACTGCTCAAAAAGCAAAATAATACATATTAGTGGTGGAGGGGGGGGGCAGGGTCTAAAATGGAATTTAAGAAGAGTTACTTCAGACAGAGTAGTGTGATTGTGAAACTCACTGTCCGAAGCAGTGGTTGAATCAAATAGTGTAGAGGCATTTAAGAGGGAGTAGGAGGGAGTAAGGAGTGACAGGAGACTCATTTGGAGGATAACCACAGATGAGTTGGGGCAAATGGCCTGTTTCTTTGCTGTACAATCTATGTAAATCTTTGTAAATCTGCGTATCTCCTTTCAAGAATTAAAATCTGTATACTAGAAGTGGGATTATTTGAATTCAATCTGTATATGTCAATCAAAACCAGGTTGCATCCAACCAGAACTTGCATTTATGTAGTGCCCTTCACAGAGTGCTTTGACATCTGGCAGTGATTTAATGGAGATGGTGCTAAACGACAAGTTGGCAAAGTGAGATGACTGTTGATGACTCAATACTAATAGAAAGGGGGCTTGATAATAATAATAATAATCCTTGCATTTGATATAACGCCCTACAACAACAACAACTACAAAATTAAATTTTTATAGCGCCTTTCTCATCGGGAGGACGTCCCAAGGCGCTGTCTTATCAGATCTTTGAGACGTCTCAAAATGTTTCAGAGAATATACTGTAAAGTGAATGGACTGTATATTTTGTGGGGAAAACACAGCAGCCAATTGTACACAGCAGTGTCCCACAACCAGTCTTGGACTGAGTGACAAATTGATTTTTTTTAAGGAATTATTACCCCTAGAAAAGCAATCCGCCAATTAACTAACAACTGGATTCTTATTTACTGTTAGGTAAACAGGTAAACAGAGGCATGTCGAGTAAAGAAACTTGCCCAATATTTCGACCTGTCAGGAATCAAACCCATGTCTCTCACTTGTGAGGCAGATGCTCTAATCACTGAGCTAGAGGACTCCAAGTTGGATCTACAATTTAAGTTGAATCAATTCATTTTGGAAGATAGCAACACATCTTTAGAAGATACTGTCATTTGTGAAACTTAGTTTATACTAACAGGATCACACTGCAAAAAGCTAAAGTGGATCTCTTCTTGTAACTCTTTAGATCAGGGGTGGACAAAAAAGGGGTGCCATATCCGGCCCGCCAAATGATTCTATCTGGCCCGTCATTGTGTCTAGCAATAGAAAAAATTATAGTTCGTTCAATCCCAGAATGTCACACAAATTTTGCATTTGAATCAGAGCGGGAACATCAGCCAATCACACTGATATTTTCTCGATTCTCACCCTGGTTCACCAGCCCCTCTGCTTGTCTGCCAAACACACTTGGCTCAAATCCGGCCTAACGGTCCACCGCTACATCTGGCTGGATCTCATCAACAATTACCGCTCCGCTCTCGCCTCAGCCAAATCAGCCTTCTATTCCAGGTTAATCCTGAAGGCAAAAGGCAATCCCAGGCTCCTGTTCTCCACCATTAACTGGTTCTTCCGCCCTCCCCGACACGCCTCGCAGATACTTTCCACTGACTCTCACTGCGAGAAAATGCTGGACTTCCTTGAGTCCAAAATCAAGGGAATCCGTTCAGCTGCCACTGCCCTCCCAACTTCCAACCCCTCCCTATCCACACCCCACACAATTACCCATCTGACAATTACCCATCACTCCTTCCACACCTTTGAACCTGTCAACCCTTCCTCTGTCTTCAACACGGTAACCTCCATGAAGTCCACCACCTGCTCCCTCAACCCCATCCCTAACCCTCTCCTTAAATCCCAGCTCCACCTCTTTGCCACACTACTTGCCGACATTATTAACCTCTCCCTGTCATCTGGAACTGTTCCATCCCCCCTCAAAACAGCCACTATCACCCCCACCTTGAAGAAACCTTCCCTTGACCCATCACAGCTATCCAGCTACCGGTTCATCTCAAATCTCCCCTTTCTATCCGAAGTCCTTGAGAGAGCCGTTGCCTCCCAGCTTCGCTCTTTCCTCTCCTCCCACTCCCTCCATGAACCCCTCTAATCGGGTTTCCATTCTGCCCACGGCACGGAAACTGCTCTAATCAAGCTTACAAACAACATCCTGACTATGTGTGACCAGGGCTCCCTTTGCCTCCTCGTTCTCCTCGACCTCTCCACCGCCTATGACACTGTGGACCACTCAATCCTCCTCCACCGCCTCTCCTCCCACCTAACCTTCAAGGTTCTGTCCTTGTCACGTTCAGGTCTTACCTTTCACACTGCCTCCACTTCTTCTCCAGCCCCCACACCGTCTCGTGCAATGTTCTTCAGGGCTCTTTCCTCGGTCTCCTCCTCCTCACTCTCTACATGCTCCCCCTTGGTGACGTCATCCGCAGACATGGGGTAAATTTCCATATGTATGTGGATGACACCCAACTCTACCTCTCTGCCTCCACCATGAACTCCAGGATTATTGGCATTCTGACCGATTGCCTGTCCGACATCAAGTCCAACATCAAATCCAACTGAACATCAGCAAGACTGAGGCTCTCCTGATTGGCTCGCGCTGGCAGCATCAGCCTCCACAGCTGCACACTCAACCTCACTAAGCCAGTCAGAAATCTGGGTATCTTGTTTGACCCTGAACTGTCCTTTCTCCCCCACATCCGCGCTATGACCGGTACTGCCTACCACCATCTCCGCAATATTGCTAGATTGTGCCACTGCCTCACCCCTCAGGCTGCCGAAACCCTCACCTCACCCATACATTCATCACCTCAAGGCTTGATTACGGGAAATCCCTCCTCATCGACCTTCAGTGTTGTGGAAAATGGCAGCACGTATACCTTTGACTTAACCTAAGCAAGAAATGTTCATCTACTGCTCATGAACTTATAAACTTTGATATTGCCTTTGATAGTGTCATTACAGTGTGATTGCTATACATGAGCTTAACAACAAATACTGCTTGTGAATATCTCTTGCTTCGGTTCATTTGGTTCAGCAAGTAGTACAGATATTGTTTGTCATAACCTTGCCTATTGTAATTATGTTATTGAACTAATGCAAATTTTCTACCTTATTAGGTAATGAGCTTTAAAATGTAAAATACAAGTGACTTTGGTTCCTCTGTTCACGGGTTCCTAATATAAAACCTTGGCTAAACAGAATAAACTCGTCTTTTCTGGTCACATCTAGATGTTCTAGATGACAACGGAAGGGTCAACTTTGACCATACCTTCAAACCTGATATTTTTGGCACAATCAGATGGGATCTGAAATAAGAACCAAAGTTTACAGATCGGAATAGAATAAGAAACGTCTGGTATCAGAAGGAAGGGGCATTACTTAAAAGTGTTAATATGCCACAGTTATAAAACTTAAATGTGTGACTAAGCCAACCAGTAAATAAAAAGAAAAAGTGTTTTACTTAGAAGTGTTAACACACCTATGCTTAAAAGTGTTGATACGTTCGTCATTTTAGAGCTAAAGAGTCCTGGGCCACGGACTACCCAAGAGATATTATTAGTCCATAAAACTGGAACAGAAGAACACTGTCTTATTCTGTCAATAAGCAGTGGGATTGGAAAGATGCACCATGGCTAAAATGGAAAATTGGTTGGATAATTTTGCCACCGAAAATGACATGGATAAGGACAATTAATTAATAATCTTAATGCATGTAACACTCTGGGACGCTACACTGCATGAGGGTCGCTATATAAATACCAGTGGTTGCTGTTGTTGATGTTATTGAGCTATACATCAACATGACTATGGTTAAACAAGACAACTCACAATTGCGAGTGGAGGTGATCAGTGCAAAGCAGATAATCTCATTGCAGGCAGCAGTTGCAGACTGAGATGCTTGGAACAGCGTGTTAGATAAACAATTGTAGGATAAGGCTGTAGAACTAACCGGGTCTGAAATAACTAAATCAGGTGTCGCAGCTGCTCTTATGCATGACTTAAACCCAGCAAGAGAGTTCACTACTGTAAAATGAATTGGCTGTGAACCGCTTTGAGATGTCTCACCAACATGATGAGGAGCTACATCAAATACAGGGATTATTAATCATATTAAAACATTATTAACCTCTAGGGTTAGATTGTTTGATCCTGAAAACACTCACTTTTTAGGCCTTTGAGATGCGTGCAGAGTGCTTGTCAATTCTATGGGATCTCTAATGTGAAAGACAAACTCACGGTTCTCCAAATTACACTGCCGTTAAACTTCCGGCATCAGTTACCTGTACACTTTGGCTCTGGCAAACAATATTAACAAGAAGATGTTGCATAATCTCTCCATTCCAGGAACTAACAACATTGTTTTGGTTGTGTCATCTACACAACCTTTGTACAGCGAAAATTAAACATTACCACATAAACAAAATTCTACCCAGTCTCAGCACTTCCCATTCAACTTTGTGAGTTGGATCTCTCCAATCAAAAGTTACTCTCTCAACTGGATCTTAAACCTCCACATGAACAGGCAGACAGAACCACGGTTTAAAGTGTCACCCATAGCACGGCACCTCTCCATACATGCAATATTCCCCAGCGCTGCTTTGAAATCTCAACCTATACTGCAAACTAACAATTTTGATGACTACTGACCCAGATTACAACAATAACAGCAAAGATTTTACATTGATATACCACATTTCAAGTCTGGACGGCATCCTAAATTATTGCAGAGCTGGGGGGTGAGGGAACTGAGGAAGGTGGGGGTGGAGGTGGAAAAGGTGACCAAAAGTGTGATTAGAAAAGAAAGGTCACAAGGTTCCTCCTTTATAGAGCCAAGGTCTTGGGGATGCATCAGAGAGGCTTCTCCAACCCATTTGCAATGTCCAGGGTCAAGCAGTGAGGTGGATTTGTAGCAAACATGGGAAGCGGCTGAAGGGAGGGAGGGCTCCTGCCAACAATGACCTGTCATTAAGCACCCAAGAGGCATAGTCGGCTTCGCAGAATCTATTTGCTAAGGCCCCTCACATGAGGTCTTTATTATCTGTACTCACCCTCTGGAACTCCATCCCGCAGTCCCTCCGTCTCGCCCCCTCTCTCGCCACCTTCAAGACCCACCTCAAGACCCTCCTCTTCGACCATGCTGTCGATCTCCCTGCTTCCCCTCCTGCTCTCCCCCACCCTGACCCTCAGCTTGGGTCCATAACTCTGTCTATCCAGTGCCTTGGGACGTCCTCCCAACATGAAAGGCACTATACAAATGTAATTTTGTTGTTGTTGTATTAAGAAACTGGTGCTAAGTAAGCCTGGTATGCAGCCTTGGATTTAGACTTCCAGAACATCAGGGTGGTTGTTACATCACAAGTTGTCCTGTGAAGGTCCTCCCATCACACTGAAGGTAGATGTCCACCAGATAGCTGATGAAGAAACTCTATGTCTTGTGGCGACAGCTGCTGGAAGGCATTGCATGGAGGCACATGCCGCCGAACACACCTGGACCAAATCAAACCTAACGTCCATCAGCAGATCTGGCTAGAACACAGCAAGACTTATCTCTCTGCCCTCGCCTCCGCCAAAGCATCCTTGAAGCCAAGTGCAATCCCAGGCTCCTCTACTGCACCACTAACCGCCTCCTCCATCCACCTTTATGTGCCTCATACATCCTCTCCTACAATTTTAACTGCGAGGAGATGTTGGACTTCCTCGAATCTAAAACCAAGGGGATTCACTCAGCTACCTTTCCCCTGTCTACTACTACCCCACCTCCCCCTCATGCCCCGGCCCCCACCCATCCCTCACTATTACACCTTCAACCCTGTCTCCCCCTCTTCCCTCATCTCCATCATCTCAAAAATGAAGCCCACCACCTGCTCCCTTGACCCCATCGCCACCCCTCTCCTTACCTCCCAGCTCCACCTCCTGGCCCCTCTTTTAACCAACATCATTAACCTCTCCTTAGCCACTAGCACTGTTCCCACACCCCTAAAAACAGCTGTCATCCCCCTATTCTCAAAAAAAATCCCTGGATTTATCCCTATTCTCCAGCTATCACCCCACCTCCAACCTCACATTCCTCTCCAAGGCCCTGGAATGAGTCATTGCATCCCAGCTTCACTCTTTCCTCTCCTTCCATTCCCTTTACAAACCCCTCCAATCGTGTCTCTGTGCTGCCCACAGCACGAAAGAACAGCCTTGGTCAAAGTCACTAATGACATTCTGTCCACCTGTGACCAGGGGTCTCTCTGCCTCCTTTCCACCTTAACCTTTCTGCTGCCTTCGACACTGTCGACCATTCTATCCTCCTCCACCGCCTCTCCTCTCAGCTCAACCTTCACGGACCTGCCCTTGCCTGGCTCAAATCCTACCTCTCCCACAGTCTCCACTTTGTCTCCTCTAATGGCTTCTCCTCCAGCCCTGCAACATCATGTGTGGTGTCCTCGAGGCTCTGTCCTTGGCCCTCTCTTTTTCAACATCTACATGCTCCACCTTGGTGACATCAACCGTAGACATGAGGTCAACTTCCACAGGTATGCGGTTGACACCCAACTCTACCTCTCTGCCTCCACCCTCAATTCCAGGACCACCAATAATAATGTGGTCACTGAATCCATGTCTGTCTGTCTATGGGACACTGCTGTGTCCAATTGGCTGCTGCACTTCGCCCACAAAATATACAGTCAATCCACTTTACCGTGTATTCTGTGAAGCCCTTTGAGATGCCTCAATGACATGGAAAGCGCTATGTCAGATGCAATGATTATTATTATTATTATAAGGCATTATGCCAGATGCAAGGATTATTATTATTATTATCATTGGCGGATGGGACTCTCTGCCCCCACCCTTTGACTCCATTCTACAATTACTCCGCCTCGTTCCCTCCCATGCCTCCTTCATGGCCTGTCCCAAGACCCTCCTCTTCGACCATGCCTTTGGTCATGCTCCTATCCCTACCCTCCACCCCTCCTGATCACAATCACCAGCTCTGGTGCCTGACTTTCCAGCACCTTGGGACATCCTCCTGACATGAAACACACTATACAGATGCAATTTGTTGATTTTGTTGTTGTTGTCAACACACATTCATACATCCAGTGCCTGGAATGCACCTTCATTGGCTTGCAGAGAAGTAAACAGCTGCTGTTGTACCTCTGTACCTCCAACTAGTCAATGGGAAGGATTGTGTGCTCGAGCTGCAGAGAGGAAGATGGTGGCAATACTCTCACGCATTTCATATTGAATTTGTGGATAGCAGACATAATGAACTCCTCGTGAGCCTCTTTTGAGCAGCTCAGCATGAAATGCGCAAGAGCATTGCCGCCATCCTCTTGCTCACAGCTCAGACATTACTCACAGCCCGCAATTACTTGGTTTAGGGTACTGGATTCTGAAGCTCATTGCAGGATCTAGCCGGAATAGACAGAATAGAAGAATTAATACAGGAGGCCCACAACATTTTGCAGACTGGTAGCACAAAATCAGATGATGTTGATTGGGATGACTTAAATAAAGAAGTTAAGAAGTAACCATGGCTAGTTAAAAATGATGTAGGTGGGACGCATGAAAGTCGCAGTTTGGCTTGGATATTCATAAGCATGGTGATGGGTTTCCGCATGAGTCAGATACCCGGCTGACCAAAAAAAAGGTTGTAATCGAGCCAGCCCTCTGTGGTGGTCTCAGTTACGTTATTCCTGATCCAGGTGGGTCCGTAGTATTCCAGGGCACTGCTGATGACAGCACAGCCAGGCTGGCTTATCAGCAGGACTTGGAAATGCAGACCAGTCACCGGGGTCAGGGTGTCATCACACTCAGCTTAGCAAAGCCCTAACAGGTAGGGTGGTCCTAGCTGGACAAGCAGGGGAAAACTTGCCAGACAGCGATATGAATGGCAAGCTATGCGGTTTTAGCTAGTTAGACTCCAGCAGTGTTCCAAAGCACACTTGGGGTCCCCAAGCCTTGGCTCTTCCCAACCTGTGCATAATACTTTAATAAATCTCAGTTTGGTTTGGATGCTCTTAAGCATGGTGACGGGTTTCCGTATGTGTCAGACACTTGGCTGACCAAAAAGAAAAAAATATTTTCCAGGCAGGAGAGGGGGAATCTATTTTGTCACTTGAACAAAACACAAAATACTGCAGATGCTGGAAATCTGAAACAAAAACAGAGGTGGCTGGGAACACTCAACAGGTCAGGCAGCATCTATGGAGAAAAGAAAGTGAGTCAACGTTTGGGGTCCACAATCCTTCGTCAGAACTGGTTTCTATTTTGTTACTTGGCCAAGGGTATCATACCAGATAGTGATGGATGAATAAAATCATTCACAATTCTTACCTGAGTGACAATAGTAGAGATGTACCTGTCAGTGCTGTACTCCCAGCCATCCACACAGGGCTCAGTCTCAGGTGTTGTGGCATTTAAAGCATCTGTTGCAGGAGTTTTGTATCTTCTACATCGACTGTAGATCATCTCACCATCCACCTCCTCTACAGGCAGCAGTGAACTCAGATTAGCTTCTCCAGTGGTTCTGTTCAGAGAGTCAGGCAGACGGCAGTGGTGCTGAGGGGTGTCTGCCAGAAACACCATAGACAGACCAGTGTAGCCGTTGTGCAAAACGATGAGACTCAACAGAAACAACACAGTTCTCTGGAAGGTTCCCCAATCTCCCAGGAAAGCGATGGCTTCATCATAGTCTTGCATTGTCTCAAGTTTCGAAATGCAGGAAAAACTGCCAAACAGCTGACACCACAAGTCACGCAAATACACTCAGCAGTTGGCTAAAAAGAAACCTCTTGAAATAAAGGTAAAATGAGAGCTGCATTGCAACCAACTTCCACTGTGCAGCTCCCTTTGCCGGTGCTCAAAGGTCATTCACACTGCGTGATAACACAGGCGATGGACCTGTAAATCTCTCCATTCCTGACATGTCAGAGCCCCGCCTCCAACTTAAAGTGTTCGGGTTCAAAACGTCCTGAATTAAATTCAGGGGGAATGTGTGGGACAGTGATGCGCTGTGTTACTGTGTGGGACAGTGATGGGCTGTGTTACTGTGTGGGACAGTGATGCGCTGTGTTACTGTGTGGGACAGTGATGCGCTGTGTTACTGTGTGGGACAGTGATGCGCTGTGTTACTGTGTGGGACAGTGATGCGCTGTGTTACTGTGTGGGACAGTGATGCGCTGTGTTACTGTGTGGCACAGTGATGCGCTGTGTTACTGTGTGGGACAGTGATGCGCTGTGTTACTGTGTGGGACAGTGATGGGCTGTGTTGCTGTGTGGGACAGTGATGGGCTGTGTTACTGTGTGGGACAGTGATGGTCTGAGTTGCTGTGTGGGACAGTGATGCGCTGTGTTACTGTGTGGGACAGTGATGCGCTGTGTTACTGTGTGGGACAGTGATGAGCTGTGTTACTGTGTGGGACAGTGATGGTCTGAGTTGCTGTGTGGGACAGTGATGGGCTGTGTTACTGTGTGGGACAGTGATGGTCTGAGTTGCTGTGTGGGACAGTGATGGGCTGTGTTGCTGTGTGGGACGGTGATGGGCTAAGTTGCTGTGTGGGACAGTGATGCGCTGTGTTACTGTGTGGGACAGTGATGGGCTGTGTTACTGTGTGGGACAGTGATGGTCTGAGTTGCTGTGTGGGACAGTGATGGGCTGTGTTACTGTGAAGTACAGCAATGTGTTCTGTTACTGTGCGGGATCATGATGTGCTGCGTTACTGTGTGGTGTGCGTTCCATGGGCTCTAATCTTATGCAACAGTCTTTTATGTGGCACCTTGTCGAATGCCTTCCAGAAATCCAAATAAACCACATCTACTGGTTACTGTGTGGAAAAATTATTTGCTGTGTTACGGTGTGGTACTTAAATGTGCTGTATTAATGTGTGGGATAATGATATAGTGTTACAGTGTGGGATAAAGAAGAGCTGTGTTACTGTGTGGGACCATGATTTGCTGTATTACTCTGAGAGACAGTGATGTGCCATGTTAATTTGTGCGACAGTGATGTGCTGTGTTACTGTGTGGGACAGTAATGTGCTGTGTTACTGTGTGGGACAGTAATGTGCTGTGTTGCTGTGTGAGACATTGATGTGCAGTGCTATTATGTGAGTTAGTGATATACTTTAATACTGTTTGGCATTTGTTTTTGGGACAGTGATGTGTTGTGTTACTTGTACCAGAGAGGATAGACTTCAAGATTCTCACCCTTGTATTCAAATACCTCCACTCCTCTGCACCCCCCTACCTCTCTGACCTCCTCTCTCCTCACAACATTGCCCATTGCCTTTGTTCCACTGGGTCCGGCCTCCTCCTTGTTCCCAGAGTCCTGCGATCCACCCTCGGCAGCCGTGCTTTCAGCCACTGTGCCCCGAAGCTCTAGAACTCCCTTCCTCTCTCCCTTCGCCTCTCCCCCTCTCTTCCTATTTTCAGATGTCTACTGAAGACCTTTCTCTTCGACCACACCTTTGGTCACCTTCCTCCCCCTCCCCCTGGCTCGGCCCCGGGATCCGTTCCTGTGAAGCGCTCTGAGACGCTGTCCGGTGTGGAGGGCGCTATATAAATCCAAGTTATTGTTGTTGTTTGTAGTTACTGTGTATTTTGTAGCCAATTGCAGCAGGCAATTTGCATACAGCAATGTTTCACAAACAGCCATTATGTGTTTTGTGGGCGAATGCAGCAGCCTATTTGGGCACAACATTGACCCACAAGGACACAAATTAAATAACCGATTTTATTTGGTGGTTTGTTGGCCAGAACACGGAAGAAAATCACTTTCTTAGAATAGTACATGGATCTTTAATGTCCACCTCAAGAGACAGAAGCGACCTTGGTTTAGCATCTCAGCTGTAAGACAGAGCCTCTAACAGTTCAGCACTCTGCCATTACCTCCCTGGGATTCCAGCCTAGACTATAAGCTCAATGTCTTGATGTGAGACTTGAACCCACAACCTTCTGATCGAGAGGTGAGAGTGTTACCAACTGAGCAGGTTTTGTAACATCTTGTCACATTAAAATGTCTCAAAGAGGATTTTTATATAATGAAAATTACTCAGTGATTAATGAACACGTCAATCATATGGATCATCAAGTTCCTACAAATAGTTTTAAAGTGAATGATTAATTAATCTTAAATATTGTTGGATAGGAAACCTGATACCTTCGCAATAGTAAATTAAATGATTATCATTCAATTATGATTATTTACTCGTAAACTTTGAAGTTTTACTTGCATTTTATTATAAACAAAATGGTAACTCTTCAAGAAGAAGAATTTACAATTCCTCAGTATCACAAATAAAAGGAATCAAACAGCTGAACAAGTAGCAGGTTGTGCCAAAGACCATTTATCCCTTTACTGGAAGGAGCTATCCCATTCTTCTTTTAGCAATTTCACCTTTCAGTCCAACAAGAAAATGCATATGACATATTTGCAGTTTAAATTGTATTACACTCCCCTGTAGTTAATATATTTCTGCCAGCCAAAAAAATGTGCCAACAACAAAAAACCTGGGAACAATTGTCAAAACACTTTTCTAATTATTCACTGCATTAAATGCGTTTTCCTTATTTTATAAAGTTCATCACTGAGTACCAAAAAGTCCTTATTAAATTGGAAATCTTCCTGAGATGAGCATGTGCATTTTTGTGCATGAGCATTGCATTTCGCCCACAAAAGAGACAATCAATTCACTTTACAGTATATTCTGTGAAGCGCTTTGAGACAACACCACAAGATGATAAGACGCAACATTATACGCAAGTACTTTTATTATTTGGAAAGGAAAAGTTTTTAAAAACAAATTTCCACAACATTTTTTTTTAACCATTTAATAGAAATGGCATCTATTAAATGATAAAGAACATTTCTGTGTTATTCACACATTGTTTCTATTTCCTTGCAGTGGGATCTCGTCTGTGAGGATAGCTGGAAAGGACCATTCACTACTTCAATGTTTTTCGTAGGCGTGTTTTCTGGTTCCTTTGCCTCTGGACATCTTTCTGACAGGTAAAGCTTACAAATAACTGCAGTGAAGTGACTTCCAAGCTTGCTTTTCTCTTGACCATGGTTATCAGTATAGTGACTTTAGGAACTTGATTACTTGATAATAATAATAACAAAAATAATAATAATCTTTGTATTTGGTGATGGTGGGCTGGTTATACACATGTTGGCATTGAGAAAGATTTTGTGGGAGGGGAGAGGCGAGAAGGTAAGGCCATCTCCACAATATCCACATACATTTTTTTGAAGCAAAACATGACGTATTTCTAAATTTAAATCCAATTTTAAACTACATTTACCGTCTTAGTGATATTAATTGCTATTTGCACGGAAAGTTGTCCATGCTGTGAGAAGAAGATTAACAGTGTCTAAGTGTGGCTACAGAAATGGTGAAAAAGGAGATTTTAGATTCTTGTCCCATTGGGACCAATTTTGGGAAGCAGAAGGTGTTTAGATATGACAGGGCTTCACCTAAACCAAACCAGTACCAATTTTATCCTGCCGGAGATTTGGATTCCAGAGCATGTAAATTAAAACAAAGCCAAAAGTTGATGTGTATCAGACTGATCCTGTCTACCTCTTCAGGTGTTTGATAAAGATTCCATGGCGACACAAAATACTATTCAAAAATAGAAATTTCTGCCTGTGTCCAGGCCAACAATCTCCCAAATAAAATTGGTTATTCATTTCAAAACTATCTGTGGAACATCTGTGCACACATAGGCTACCATATTCACCTACAAATACAAGGTACATTCTCCCAATGTGAAAGGCGCTTTACAACTGTAATTGTTGTTGTTGAAGAGTGCTTTACCAAATGCAAATTATTAATACTTATAAACTGGGAGCAGCAGGGTATGGGACATTCATAACTTTAATTTGTGTCCAAAGGGGAAGTGAAGGTTTAGCCATTCGAACAGCATTTTTCTAAGAGCGCTGTTAACCCAGAATAGAGTCTCAGAATGCTGTATAATGGCAGGTTGGACGCCAAACAGGAGAAAAGGTGTGTGTGAGATCAAAGAGGCAGGTCTTCTGGTGAGATTTCAAGATTGATGAAGTGGAGGACAAGCCAGAGGTATTCAGGCAGGATGATTCAGTGAATAATAATAATAATCCTTGCATTTGATATAGCGCCTTATCACATCTTTGAGATGTCACAAAGCACTTCACGGAATATACTGTAAAGTGAATTGACTATATATTTTGTGTGTGAAATGCAGCAGCCAATTGCGCGCATCAATGTCCCACAAACAGTCATGGATGAGTGACCTTATTTTTTTAAGGAATTATTACCCTCGGAAAGCGATCCACCAATCGATTGCTACTTACTGCTAGGTAAACAGAGTTGTGTGGAAACTTGTCCAACATTTCTCCCTGCCGGGAATCGAACCTAGGTCTTTCATTTGCGAGGCGAGTGCTCTAACCACTGATCTACAGGATTCCATGAAGGAACATCACCAGGAAGGAAATGTGTGACATCTCTTACAAGGCTGTGGCTGACATGGGGTGAGGGGCTGAGGTTCAGTCAATCCCACTATGTCTCTCTTGTGTGGAAGGTATGATGAGTGAAAGCTTGACCACAGCACAGAGGGGTTGTGGATACACAGCAGCTTGTGTTAGCTAAGTGAAGGTGGGGTGGGGTGGGGTGGGGTGGGGTGGCAAAGCAGTGGTCTAAGAGCAGGTCAGAGAAGTAGATCATGAAGGAATTTGTTTGTAGAGGTGAGGCTCTTGAAACCTGTTTGGGTACAGGAAGCATGGAAAGGATTGGCATGATGGTTAGGTGTAGTTTGGTGGTTTGATTACTGAAAGTGTTGTCAAAGAGGTGTGTTTTGAGCTGGACCTTAA